TGTCACCCCAAATGGCTACGCGTGTCAGCACTGACACGCGTGTCATAGGTTCGCCATCACTGACCTAGATAAATCTTTTCTTTGTTTCTTTTAACAACCTAATAATCCCCTTACATGGAGGTGGAATCAGGGTGACTAAACAGAGCTTAAGTTTACTGGCCGGATGCCCTTCCTGATGCCTATGCAAAGTTCGCAGCATACAATTACTCATTACGCCCAGAGAGAGAAATATCTGCCTTACCCAGGATTGTGATGTGATTGTGATGTGAGAGCTCCACCTGTGGGCCACCACACTGCTTACCTAGAGAAATCTATACTATACAATGTTCACATCAGGGATACTGTAAACTCTTCTGATCAAAACATTTAGAAAAAGGATGTAAGCCGCCTAGAGTCAGTTTCAATCAAATGGGCAGCACACGTGTGTGAAACAAACAAACAAACAAACAAACAGGAAAAGTACATAAGTAATCTAAATAATTAAATCAACATGAATTAACAAGATCACTGCACTTCAGTGGCTTCCTTTCACTGAATGTGCTTTAGCCTGGAAAAATGGTTCATAATTAAGACACACACAATCATTTATGCCATAGAGCCATGATGGAGAACCCATGGCATGGGTGCCACCTCTCTGTGGGCATGTGAGCTCTCGCCCTGGCTCAGCTCCACCGCGTATGCAAGCACAGCTGATTTTTGGGTCTCTGCCATGCATGCTCAGGGAGAGGTTTGTCACCTGTGCATACATGGGGGTGTGGGGGAACATGGGATGGTGTGGCGCGCCTCCCTGCACCCCGTTTTCGGTCCCAGAAGGCTTCATGGATGCCTACTAGGCCCAAAACAGGGAGGGTCGCATGTGCATGCGTGGGAGGAGTGTGTGTGTGGGGGGGTCATGTGTGCATGCGGGGGTTACGGGGGGGAGTGTCACCCATGCAATGCATTATGGGTGTGGGCACGCGCATGCGCACTTTCGGCACGCAAGGATAAAAAGGTTAGCCATCACGGCCACAGAGAAAAGAGGTTGGAACAGAATGATCCATAGGAAACAGGTCCACAAAGATCAAGGTGGATTCCAGAACCATGCAGTTGAAGCCCAACCTCTTTTTATGACTTTGGTCCAGGGGTGGGTTTCAACCGGTTCGCGGCGGTCCCTGCAAACCGGTTGGTCACCGAACCCGGAAGTAAGTAACTTCCGGGAACAGCGAAGGGTGCGCCCTCCCGCCCACGGTCCTTACCCGCTTTTGACGAGTTCTGCGCTTCCACGCGTGCGCAGGACGCATACAGCGCCTGCGCGATCGTCCAGGAGCAGCTGGAGCATCGCACAGACGCTAGTATGCATGCGTGCACCGCGCACGTGCACGAGGACGCCGCCGGCCCCAAACCGGTTGGAACGGGGCGAGAAACCCACCCCTGCTTTGGTCACATGGTTGGGGGTTGCCTATCTTGCCTTTTTTGACTTCCCCCAACCCTCTTAATAGGAAGTTTTCCTCACTCCCTTAAAACCAGGACTCAGTCCCGGAATGTGACCGCAAGAGGTAAAAACAGACAAAAAGAAAACCTTTCCCATGATGAAATCTACGAATTCAACACTACAGGATGCTGAGTGGGCCAAAAGCTAAAGTGATTTATGAATCCACAAATGACAGGTTCTACTGAGGGTTAATCTTCCTTCTGGGTCGCGGGACAGCAGCCTCTGAAGGACAACAATGTTAGGAGAGCGAGATGTTTCCATCTCCTGTGAGCATCCCAAAGGCATCTAATTGGCCACT